CACACACATACACACACACACACAGAGAAACGCAGAGACACACACAGACACACACACACACACAGACACAGACACACACAAACACACACACACGGGGTTTGTAAACTTGCATATGCTCTTTTTTCAGTTGGTACATTTTAGCAATGTGTACCGAATTTTAGTAGATAAGAATACCCTCATATATTATGGATTTTAAGTTTTAAGGTCAAGGGTATTTGAATAATTTTCATTCTCAAAACTAAAAAAAAAAAACAAGAAACCCACAAACCCTTACTTACCTCTCTCATTCCTCTCAACCCTTTATCTTTCATCTCTCTCACTCCAACCTTTTCTCTGTCATCCTTACTGTAGCCCCAACTGAAAAAATCAAAAACACCCGCCTAACCCTAATCCACCTTCATCACTTATCCAATTTGTTTCTCTCTCATCTCCATACTCTCTCTCACCCACACAAAGTAACCCGCGACACCGTAATTGGTTGCTCTTGTTCTGTTCATTCATTTGTTTTCCTTTTTAATAACAAAGTAATCAAAATTATTTTTTTATTTAAGTGGAAAACAAATAAACGAACAGAGCAAGAGTAAACAATTGCGGTGTCGCGGGTTGCTTTTAATTAACTTATAACTCTTTTCAGATTCGAATGTAAGAAAAAGATAAAAACAACTAAGATAAAACAAAAGAATTCGAAAAATGATGAAAGATTTCGTTCCAATTTAATTGAATCTAGTACAAAAAAGATAGTACCAAAAGAATACATGGATCTAGAACTATATTTTGTTTCAAATTGCCAGTATTTTAGGTTTTTTAAGTATTTTTTATGATATTGTTGCCCCAACCTATCCATGAATCTAAGAAATAGCGATAATTCTTGATTTCTCTCAATATCTCTCTCAATTCAAAAATTCAGGATTTGAATTGATGTCCTTCCATTGAATCCTCCTAATTGCATTGATTTATCCAAAATAGTTCACTTCAATTGGAATGTGGATGAGAGAGAGTACGGAGATGAGAGAAACAAATTGGATAAGTGAGAAAGGTGGATTAGGGTTAGGCGAGTGTTTCTGATTTTTTTCAGTTGGGGTTACACTAGGGATGACAGAGAAAAGGTTGGAGTGAGAGAGATGAAAGAGTAGGGATGACAGAGAAAATGTTGGAGTGAGAGAGATGAAAAAGAAAGTGTTGAGAGGAATGAGGGAGGTGAGTAAGAGTTTTGGGGTTTTTTGTTTTTTTTTTAGTTTTGAGAATGAAAATTATTCAAATACCCTTGAGCTTAAAACTTAGAATCCATAATATATGAGGGTATTTTACTAAAACCTGGTACATGTTAAAATGTACCAACTGAAAAAAGAGCGTACGCAAGTTAACAAACCCATATATACATACATACATACATACACATACATACATACATATACATACATATACATACATATATATATATATATATATATATCTATATATAGATATATATATATATATATATATATATGTATGTATGTATATGTATATATATGTATGTATGTATGTGTATGTATGTATGTATGTATGTATGTATGTATATTGAGTATGAAACTAGACATTAATAAGTTGTCTGAAATCGGGTAAAACAATAGACACAACAAATATCAAATTTCGTTAAAATATGTTTATGTTTTGATACCATGTTAATAAGTAGACTTTAAATCTAACTCAACCCTACAAAATTGACTTGTAGTGAGATTTGCTTCCACTTATATACTATAAATTTGTCTTATCTCTAATCGATGTGAGATATTCAATACTAATAATTCAACAAACATAATTAAAATAAGCTTTGAAATACTCTAGTAACATCTATATTGTACAATTCCAACTTTACCTTGGACAAAGAAATGAATTTTTTTCTTTCAAGACTCTCTTTACTTATTTGATATTGAAGACAAGTATACAATTCTGTTATTCAAAACACTCATTTATCGAATTATTAACTAATAATATATACTCGTAATATCAACTATCCATCACAAATTTTATTTACAAATATATTATGTGAATATTTTTATATGAATATTTTTGTTATATCTGACTCTATCTTTTGGACACCTCATCGACCAAATCATCCAAGACTCCCCCACCTACAAACCCAACTACCACCGTCATAGTCTGCGACTCATGCCCACTGTTGCTTCTATTACGTCTTCTTTTCTCCAGGGGTTCAAAAATTAATGTAATGCTTCTCACAATTTTTAGCTATCATTTCTAAATAATACATAATACTAATTAAAATAATAAAATTTCATTTTGAAAAACTCTCTTTTTGTGAAGTATGAGTTGACAGAGTTAGGTAGGTTTTTCTGTTCCAAATTTAAAAGGTTTAATAAACGAATGTGATATTGAAATACTACCTCATGGGAAACGTGAGTTTGAAATGCGAGACAAACTTTTCAAAGTTTCTTAGTTCATAATTTAAGTTTAATTTTTGGGAGGTTTTTATTAAGCAGAGGGCTTGTACCCATCTATCATATCACACCAATGTCTACATCGCTTAATTATAATAGAACTTCTCCATCCTTCTATATCATTTTCAATATCGCATTTCCCAAACTTATTAGTTAAGTTCTTCCCTCACCCCTTTTCTTTCATCTACAATAATTAAGGATATATATCAAATTCATATAATACAACGTCAAAATAAAACATTTAATTACAAGGGAAACAATTATCTAAAGATAGGTTACAGCACACCTGTTTTCATTTTATAAATATGATCGTATGCTCAACTAGCAGGATACATACTATAAGGTTTACATTGTCATTCATGGAGTATTACTCTCAAACTTTCCTAAATATTAATCGACACTTCTATTTTTTAATTATTAATTATGTTGAAATTTATTAACTTAATAGTTTTATTTAAACCCGAATAACTAAGTATTTTAAGTAAAAAATTTAACTATCATATGTATTTTCATGATTTTTTGTAAATTAGTATTACGTTTTTTCAAATAATCTGAAAAGGACATTATATTAAATTTATCTTTTAACTACACTACACTGTTGTGTGAAATATTTATTATTAGTAAATTACTAGTTATCTTTAGTTAATCCTTCTCTTAGTTAAGTTTTAAAATATATGACCTTCAACCCAATATTTTATATATATATATACATATGTTAAATGTCCCTTTAAACATAAAGACCACCTAATTTGAGGTATCACTCAACTCCCAAAATGGGTCGACATGATGAGAGGAGAATTATACCTTTTGGTATGTATATAAATGAAAGCATCAAAATATAACGGTATAATTTGAAATTATTTAAATTTTAATATATTCTAAAAAGTACGCATTACATCAATTTTGATTTATATAATGTAATATTAAATAACTTCAAAATAATAATAAATTATAAACACACACTCTTATAATATATATACACATATGTACATATACATATACATATACATATACATATACATATACATATACATATATATATATATATATATATATATATATATATATATATTTATTGTGTGAATAGAACTTATAATCTAAAAATAAATTTTTGAAAAAATATTTAATTAAAATATAAAAAATATTAAAATAAAGATATTAATGAGTAGTTTGTAATTAAGTATTTTATTTTGGAAAAAAAAAATTGTCTTAAAGTTACGTGGTTAGTGCATATACGTCATAGCTATATTTCATATCCTTGAATAATTAACTTCTTGTAGTTTTTTTTTCTGGTGAACACCTCTTTCTTACTTCATTCTTATCTCTATTTTATTTTCCTTGTTAAATTATATGATGTAGAGCGGTTCTTATTTTTCCTTCTTTTTATTCGTATCTTTCTTTTATCCATCCTTTTCCCTTTACCTATGCTAAGACAGTAGCAAAAGTTGGCTCATGTCAACAACCTTCCTAATCATTGGACACATATGGCCACTCACACCTAATTACACCTTCGCACGTGTCTAATTCCATTCCTACTACTGCTTTATTATTAGACACAACTTTTTCAATGCAAGCTACAGTCATACTATTTCTTTCTTCTTTCGTTTTTCATAAAAAACACCTAAATTAAAAGTTTTTATAAAATCTAAATGAAATTTCCAAAATCATCAGTTATGTAAATAAAATATTTTTTATCAAAAAAGGAAATAAAAGTATAGAAAAGAATTTAAAACACGCCAATGGATTAAAGTGGTGTATGTATATCCATGGTATGTATCTTAGAATTTAACTAAGTGAGCTGAATAAATAAGATAATATACATGTACCTTTATTCATCATACATGTGTTCTCCAAAGTATTAAAAGTAATATATTTTTTATTTTGAAAGTGATGAATTACGATTTTAAAATTTGGTAGAGAGAGACGTTCAAATTTAAATATCTAACATTGTGTTGAACAAGATTACGACCCATACAGAACATATATTTTACAGGGTAGAAAAAAAAGGCATCACGACCATTTCGATATAATTCTGTTTGGCCATCTGTTTTCTAAACAAAAGAAAATGGAGCGAAAGTGCCCAAAATAAAGAAATAAACACAAAGTCTAATAAATTCTATTGTTTTTCAAAAGTACTATGGGAATTACGGAACACAATTTTTTCTTATATTATAAGTATTTAAAATTATTTTGAATAAGTTCAGGTTAGTAATTATTACAAATTTATGATATCTTAACTATTCTGATACTTTAAACTCCATTTACATCAGATGAAATAGGGTGTTTAAAATTATAATTATGAATTAAAATATTTGAAATTTCTATTTAACAGCAAAGTTGTTGTTCCTCTTGTCATATGAAGTTACTTTTTATATATAAAGTATGAGTTGGAGTTTTCAAATATTAATTTGGTTGGTGCCAAGCACAGCATTAAATTTTTACCTTGAGGATGAAGTTAAAAGTCGAAAGTTTAAAGGTGAGCATGGATACCCTACCCTAACCTAAAGAGACCCCACAGCCATAGTGGCAAATGACTCAAAAGCCATGCAATGTACAAAACACTGTTTCGGACCAAACATAATTCCCCCGAAAACCCCTCCAATATTACAGCGTTTGCCCCCGTAAGGTGGTCAATAAATAACGGAGCCCTGCAACGCTTTTCTTCCCTTTCTCACTCCTCTCCTCCTCCGCCTCTAGTTTCAAACAACCCCGTCACTCTGTCGCCGTAACCATGCTCACCACCCTCCCTCCCTCCGAACCCTTCTTGGGCAACCCATTCTCCGCCTTTTCTGTAGACTTCACCGCCTGGGAGGACGACTCCCACCACCTCCTCTCCCCGAAACCCGTCACTTCCAGCTCCGGCTCCGACAAACCGGAGCCGGAGCCAGCCGAACCGGACCAACCCGTGGTCTCGGTGGTGGACGAGCGGAAACTTCGGCGCATGATATCGAACCGCGAATCTGCCCGCAGGTCTCGCATGCGAAAACAGAGACACCTGGAGAACCTTCGGAACCAGTTGAACAAGTGCAGGGTCGAAAACCGGGAACTGAATAACCGGTTGCAGTTCGTCTTGCACCACTTTAACCGCCTCCGAACCGAAAACGAATGGCTCCGGTCCCAGCGAACCCTCCTCCTCCAAAAAGTCGCCAACTTAACCCAAATTTTGATTTTCCAACAATTCCAACAACCCATCTCCCCTGCATGGACATGCAACACTTCGCTCATCCCAATTAATCAAGTTAATTAAATCATATATAATACGCTCTATGTAATTGTTAAAAGTTAGATCAAGATAAGAAGATGTTAAAAGGGTGGGATTTTTGGGATTGGGATAACATATATATATATATATATTTAGACTCGGTTTTTGAAAATATTTCTTTATTATTTTCAAAACCGTATGCCTTATATATATATATTACCGATCATAATCAGTATATTTTGTGTAAAGTATTAACCTTTTTTTTTTGTTATTCTACTCTTAGAATGAGTATTTTTATTTTTTTTGGCTGTTGTTAGCTCCTATTATGTATAATCATGATGCACATATCATAGTGGTGCTGCATAGTCCAAACTCAAAGGTCAAAACTAATGTCACGTATTTGTATGAATCAAACTGCCAAAAATTTTAATCTCGTATTTATACAACTTCGAGTTAACGAGGACTTGCCCTAGGAAGAAGGGACGAGAGAGGAATATAACATAATTTCGACGAATGCATAAATAATTGTGTTGTTAAAAAATTACCATTATTTTATCATGATTCATAAATCCCTATTAATGATAATTTTACTAGCCGATTATAATAAAGTTATATAAAAAATGATTCCTTACTAATTAACATGGTAAAAAGTTTTACACTCAGTGTGAAACCTGTTACACTCAAAATTAGTTTCGTGCTCTCCAGCTTATAACTGACTGGGCAATGAGATGCTTTTTCTTTCATTTTTGGGCGAATGATACTTTTTTATACATTAAAATACAATAAAACTAAATATTGACCAACGAGAGAAGCGAAAATATTTTATGAAAGCCGTCAATTCCAAATTATCTCTCCTTGCAGGGTTCGGGAAAAAGAAATCAAATTAGAAAACGCGTTTTCATGTTATTTATTATTAGATACATTTTCCCATAGATTAATAATTCTTTTCACTGACAAGTCTTCTTAGATTAAAGAATTTTCTAAATAATGGCCTTTTAACAGCGGAATTCAAAAAGAAAATGAAGATTGTCTTGGAAGAAAGTATATAATGAAAATGTGTCTGTAGCAACGGATACGTCAGTTTCTTTAATCAAAGTACAAACTTAATCCCTCTTTTTCTTTTTAAGAGAATCAAGTTGATTGGTTTTGGATTGAGTGCAATTAAGACGAAAACTTTAGCCTATATAGTAATATAAAGTTATTTATAACTTTGTGCACAAGATTTTGCTGAAGAGAGGGGCCACAGGTTATTGGTCACTCTCAATTTGATTATGTTTGATTGTTATAATAATTATTGAGCTCTATAATTTTGTAAAAACAGAGACTCACCTCATCCTCACCTTTTTTGTATTTTATAATTCTTATAATTGTATGAATGTGTATTCCAGTAACAGATATCCATTGTTATGGATGAGTTAGTCTTTATAATACATCACCAATCCTTTATATTTTAGGATTAATCATGGCGTCACCAAATAAAAAATTCTACATGCAAACTTTTACCTCCTCATATTTACTCATTTTACCATCACTGTAACTGATGTTATATGTGAATCTTTTATATACTGATGTTATGCGCTAAATAAAAAAAAATGTCGAATACTTGTTCCTTTCACCATCACTGTAACTGATGTCAGATAAATCTTTACTGTATTTTAATTTCCTTTGGTTTGATCCTTCAGTTTATACTGTCCGTATTATGTTTATTGATTTGAATAAAAAAGTACTTTATTCATTATTGGTATTTATAACATCAGAAGTACTGTTTATGCTTTAAAGGACAGCAGAGTTAATTTTATAACATTTTAGAAAAACAAAATAAACTTAACTTTATAAATACTTTAAAAATTAAAGTATTTATTTTCTTAAAGAAAGTTAATATTTCTTATGATACATTTTTTGCTCTGATCTTTTTATAAATTAAATGTTTACAAATATTTTTAAAAATAAAGATATTACTCAAACCAAATTTTATTCAAAATTTGAAAAAAGAGAGAGTGTAAATTAAATGATTCATGAAAGTGAAAGAAAGTAAACGATTCAAACAAAATAAATTAAAAATATATAGAAGAAGGAGATAAAATATCTTAAATATAAATTATTCTATTAAAATAGCTTAAAACATTGTTCGATTCCACTCATCTATCCGTGATCATCCCCTTAACCTAGGATTTTATTATGTCAATGTAAACACATTCTAATCTTTATTATAAAATATAAGTATATGTATAAAGTTCAATCTAATTCCTCAAAATTTTCATTAGTTTTTATTGCTGATAGTATTGATATATGATTTCTACATTAATGTAATTTAACCTTCATGCTTTTAAAAATATGAGATTTAACTTTCCCAAATATGCTAAGAATCGAAATAATAATGTCAATGACTTCCTTTATCTTATTATATTCCTTCTTAACTGTAGAAGAAATAATGGAAAAGTGTTTTAAGGAATTTTCCCAAAATATGGCTTCTTAATCGTGCTAATTTTTACACTTACATTACAATGCATTAATATTCCGTCATGTGTCACCATTTAAATGATTTTTCTCTAAATTTGTCTATACTTATTAATGGTAAACAATGTTAATAAAATTAAATCTCGTAATTGATTAAAGTTTCTATATGTTTTTTGTAAGACATGATTTAAAATTATATCATGCATCTAACGAATATGTATGGTTCTTCATTAAAATAAACCAACGAATACTAAACTAGTTTTGATCCATGGGTAAATAAAATGTAGAGGATGAAACAGAGAATGTAGAAGAGACAAAGTGTTGGAAATCCTACATCGACTAGAGATAAAATCAATTTATAATATATAAGTAGGTGCAAACCTTACCTTATAAGTCAGTTAGGCATAAAATCCACTTCTTAACATGGTATCAAAACTATAATTAGAGCATATCCTAGCGATATTTGTTGTTTGTTGGGCATATTGTTTCACCCATTATCGAACCACCCATTAATGTTTAGTCTCAAACTCAAGATGATGTCTATACCTCGGTGTGAGGATGGTGTGTTGGAAGTGCCATATTCACTAGATAGAAGATCAATTTATAATATATAAGTGGGTGCAAATCTTACTTTGGAGCTGATTTTGTGAAGGTTGAGTTAAGCTTAAAGATCACTTCTTATCACAAAGAAAAAAAAAGAGAAACAATAATTCTTTATTGATTATAAATATATGAAAAAATTATAAGAAGAGATTTATCGAAAGAAGAAATAACAAATATATATATATATATATATATATATATATATAGTATGATATTTAAACCGAGCAGTTGTCAATCATAACTGATCGTTCTATCTACTATAGAGACGACTCGTCATCTACCAATTATACCAAATGCTCGTCAACTATCCTATAGTTGAAAGCGCTCGTCAAACCTCCCCAAGTAGGTCAAAGCGCTCGTCAAAAGTTAAGCGACATTATGACACTCAATCAACCAAATCAGGCCAGGATAAGCAGACGCTCAATTATGTTAAACGAGGTTGGCGGACGTTCAATTACGTTAAATGAGGTTGGACCAATTAGCCCAACACTTAAATAATTAGACCAATAATCCAGTTAAAGAAGAAATAGTCAAAAGTATTTAACCGTAATAACGCAGACTACATAGCCAACTAACCGAATCTTAAGACTAACGTAGATTACGGACAAATAACCGGATTTATCAACTAACCGGATTTTAAGGTAATCAGTTTATTTTACTTTTTAGGTTAAATACAGGAGAACCTAAGGAGAAAAAGAAACGTTTTGGCTCTAAGACTGAAGAGATTACTTCTGTGAGAAAATCATTTATTAAAGAACTAAAGTTTCATTACTCATATCTGACTTTAGTATCGGAGTATCTTCACAAGTACTTCCCCCACTTCCAGAAAAGAAGAAACATCACACGGGTGAAAGGAGTGTGAGAAAGTTACAGGAAGGTGAGCAACTAATATCATTGGAGGAGAGACAACGATCCCAAACGTACAAGAATAATAAGCATCATCAACAAGGTTTATATCTCGGTCTGAAACAATCATACATAAACAATATATATATATAATTTGGGTAGGGTAATTATACATTAATGGCAAAGATTATTATTTTTATAAAGTGTAATCAGAACAAAAATGTCACATAAGTTTTGTTTTAATAAGTTATATGAATTATACATGTATGTTGTATCGAGTGAGAAGGTAATTAATAAATCATATTTAAGAATTTAATATGAATAGCTATCGGTTTGTTGTATATGTTAAAAAAATGAGTGATAGAAATGAGTTTGATTAGTGATGGTCAAACAGTGTAAACTATTTGATAACACAGATTTCAAATATTAGTTCTTTTTTGAAAGAAAAAAAAATGGGAGTAATTAATGCATAAAATATTTGTAAATAAACACAGTGGCCCATACATTATAAGGCACTACATCACATGTTGGAGGCTACCTTTGAAGCCCAATACTGGGCATGTCCCTTTCTGCCAATCAAGTGGGTTTTGTATGGCTCACTACTATGGATTTTTTCTTTAAATAAACCCAAAGTTGGTACTTAATTTTGTCATCATAGGATTATAGCAATCACAGTGTTAATTAACAAACCCAAAACATCGTTTTCCACATTGATTGTGGCATGAAGAGTGCTTTATTAGAGGCATGAATTAGTTCGAATGAAATAAAATAAAATAACATCATACCAAACAAGCTTAAAGTAGCACAGTGTAAACATGAAATCATCTGATTGCAACCCCAAGGGTAAGAACAGGAACAACTCGACAGATATTGTCCACGTAAGCCGAAGGAAAATAAATTAATTCTGTAATTTATTAGAGTTATTTTAAATGAAAATAAAAAAAAAATAAAAAATAAAAATAAAAAATTTATTTATATCCCAAAAAATACATAAAAAGTTAACTTCAAATTTGCCTTTCTCTTGCGATAAAAATAAATAAATTTATTTATATTACATCTTACCTCATAATTTTTAGATCTTCTCCCTAATTTGAGGAAGTTGTTTTAGTGATTCTCAGAGATCTTACCGTGAAACAAGGTATATTCTTGGGAAGTGTAAGGAATTAAATAAATGCAACTCAAAATTTATCTTAGAAAAGCGAGAAAGACACTATCAGAGTTACATAAAATTATCCAATTTATGTAAATCTCTTTCACGATTCATACTGTGATATATTAAGTACTCTTAGCCTTAATTATAACCACAAACAAGTTACGATCTAGCAACTACACAATGATACAATAGGGCACAAATTACAACTGGCGTCACACAAATTGGAAATAAACACATATATATTGGATGAGAGAATATGCCATGACAGTAATTGTCCAATATTGAAAAGAAAACGCTAACAGTACTACTAGCGTAAGAAATTGTTATTAGTACCACCAGTGACAGGATGACAGGCTGAGGATGTCGTGTTCTCAAATTATTTTAAATTGCACGCGAATAATAGTAGAACTAAATTAAAAAGAGTTTCAATTTACTCTATAACATGTATAATTTTAATTTAAT